TCTAGTTATGACCTTTGTACTCAGTTGCTGCTTTACTTAGGTTGCTAAGCCTTTTAAACTTTTGCACATGGAGGATATGAAACAAAATTTTTTTTAGGTTTTATATATACAGTTGAATAATCAAAAAATCATAAATTACTACATTTATACCATAGAATTCCACTATAATTTATCAACTTTAATAACTAAGCTGTATTTCAGTCAAAAAATTATGAAATTTGGAGCAGACTAAAGACACAACCTACCTCTTTGAAACTATGGTTTGAAAGAACGAGATGGTGTCCTAACACTTTAAAATGGCCGAGAAAGCCACTAGGGGAACATTCTAAGCTTTCCATTGGTTATTCACATAACATATTGAAGTAAGTACATATATAAGGGACTATTTCCAAAAATGGAAAGAGGTGAGCGGAGCCACTGTGTTTGATTCAGTACATGAGTGATATCTCAGCAAATAAAAAAAGATACAAGGTTCTTATTTTATATTCTCGCTTGTCAATATCTGTAATTTGAGTTCCTAATTCATACGAAACTATAGACTTAGTATTTTGACTTCACAAACATCTAATTTGAACCAGTGCTGCATTCAACATACCACGTGACACACAGAAATTGATGTTTAACTGTGTTTTTTTAATATTTACTTTTAAATTGAGGAATTGAATAATGTATAATGCTAAAATTTGAATTATAATCTACATTTTGATACCAAACTTATTGACATAAATTCATAAAATAGTAGTTCAATAAAATTTTGAATGAGAGTCAACAAATGCAGTGACATGGCCTTTGACCCGCGACCCGTCTGGAAAGGGTTAATGAAAATCAAACAATCTGGAAGTTACATAGTTTTATATGTATAAATAATTCAAAATTGACTTCATTGTTTCAATTTATGTATTTTGGGGAAGTTGGTGTGGGTGAATTGACATTGAATTTTACTTTGTTCATGACGTAGTTGAATAGGCAAAAACTTTTTTTTTGTTGTTCAGTTAGAAAGACTTTGAACATTGTGCATATATGCTATTGTATGTTGTTATGTATGTATCCGAGTCTGGTGTTATTAATAATAATCTGTTTTACTTGAACTGCGATGTTAATTGGATAACAACTGTTTGTGGAAAATCATTTGTTGTGACCACTGTTGTTTTATGCTATACTGAAAAGTAGTTAGGTGTAGAATAAAACAAATGTTTCGAGCCTGACCAAGTTTAGTTTATACCAACTTATCATAAGCCTTGTTTATTAAATGTCTCTCGCATCTCTTAATCTTGCTGTGATTTGTACTGTTTTATGTTGATAAATCTGTAGTAAAGTAAATATTTCAAATACGTGTTGTATACCAAGATTCTTATCTTCTTCTTCCCAGGTATGTCCAGTATGTGCAGCATCACCTAGTGGTGAACCAAATAATATTACTGATGATTTTGCTGCACACCTTACTCTAGAACATCGGAATCCAAGAGAGCTGATATCCTTTCTAAAGTGACCGTTGTGGTATACACAGAACAATTTTGTTAAATACAGCAGTATACAGTTATGGTTTTATTATACTTTTTTTTTTTTCAGAAACTCACTTTTTTTCTTGATCTGGAACAACCTACTCTTGCCCACCCGGTGTGGGTTCCATTGACAGCACTCCACCGTGGACCACCTGATTCAACTTGAAACCTCGATCAGGGAAGCCTTCCTCAAGAGAGAACATCTTGTCTCCATGATCAGAAGGGAAGCCTTCCTCAAGAGAGAACATCTTGTCTCCATGACCAGGGAAGCCTTCCTCAAGAGAGAACATCTTGTCTCCATGATCAGGGAAGCCTTCCTCAAGAGAGAACATCTTGTCTCCATGATCAGGGAAGCCTTCCTCAAGAGAGAACATCTAGTCTCCATGATCTTTGAACTTGGGAAGGCTTACGACTCTACGTGGAGGTACGGCATTTTGCAGGACCTTCACTCGTATGGGTTGCGTGGCCATTTACCCATTTTTATTCAGAACTTTTTACTGGACAGGCAATTCCAAGTCCATGTGGGATTGACTCTTTCCCTTCCTTTAAACAGGAACTTAGGGTGTCTTGACTGTCACACTTTTCAGTATCAAAATTAATGCTATCGCAACACAACTTCCTCCTACTGTTGCAAATGGGCTCATTGTCGACGACTTCCATATCTTGTGTAGGTTTTCGAATATGAGGTTTATTGAGCGGCAGCTTCAGACTGCCCTCAATTGCTTGTTGAAGTGGACCACAGCAAATGGTGTTACATTTTCTTTTTCCAAAACCGTTTGCATGCATTTTTGCCACAAACAGGGCCTACACCACGATCTCGCTCTGTCTTGGTGATGTTCTTCATGTGGTTCCTGAGGCAAACTTCTTGGGGCTTATCTTCGACTGTAAGCTTAGTTTCATTCCTCATATAAAGCAGCTACGTGTCAAATGTACAAGGGCACTGAACATCCTCTGTTTCCTCTCTTCCATCTCTTTGGGAGTGGATTGGTGTTCTGTGCCCAAGATCTATCATGCCCTCATTCGATCCAAACTGGTCTGTGGTTCTACCAGAACCTCAGCCTTGAAGATACTGGACCCCATTCACCATCTGGGGCTTTGGCTCTACACTTATCCAGTCCAGAGTTTGTACACCTAGTATCACTAACCTCCTCTTCACCTCTGCCATTTGCAACTTTCTCTACAGTATGCTACCAAGCTTCAATCCTTACCACAGCATCCCACCTGACATTGTGTCTATCTTCCTCGGTGGGCCATGCTCTTTCAGAATAGATGGTCTGCAATTCCTTCTTTTGGCGTTCGTATCCAGGTGCAACTGGATGAATTGGGTCTGGCATTAGATGACGTTGCCGTCCCCAATAATCAGCCCATTCCACCATAGCTTATTACCATTCCCAGGTGTGACTTTTCCTTGAGTCATCTGAGGAAGGTGGATACTCTCGATTGGAAGTATCGTCTTCTCTTTACTGAACATCTTTCAAACCATCCTTCTATTCCCGTTTACATGGATGGTTTGAAATCAGGTGACTCTGTAGGTTCTGCCATGGTTTGCTGTGGCTCAGTAGTTGCTTGCAGGATCCCCTCTACAGTTTCTGTATTCACTGCTGAGTTGTATGCCATTTCTCTTGCCCTGGATCATGTAGCAACCATCCAGTACACTGATTGTACTATTTACACTGATTCTCTTAGCTCTCTACTGGTCCTGGAATCGCTTAACGTTTATTTTCACCCTGTTCTCATTGATATTCAATAACGGCTGGCCCATTTTTCTTTATTTTCTGTTAGTATCCAGTTTTTCTGGATACCTGGCCATGTTAGTATTTGTGGGAATGAGCTCGCTAACACCGCAGCTAAGTCCATCTGTTCTGGTGCTGTTGCAGCTGTGCTTATCCCATTGGTAGTTGATTTGGAATGAACAATGTTATAACAAGCTTTTCCAGATCAAACCTTTTGTTCTTTGGCCATCTTGTTTGTGTAAGGATCGGAAGAAAGAAGTTGTTCTGGCTAGGCTACGCATTGGTCACAGTTTTTTAACTCGTCATTTTCTTTTGTTTGGGACTTATCCACCAATGTGTGGCTTTTGTGACACTCAAGTCACAATAGCCCACATTCTACTGTTGTGCAGTCGTTACGACTCTGAGCAACGGCACCATTTTCCTAAAGGTTTAGCCCTGACATTGGATGGTAACACTGTCCTACCTGATTGTATTTTAAAATTTTTATGAGCCATTGACCTTTTTAATTCTATTTAAGTCTTTTTATCTGAATTTTGGATATTGTTTAGTTTTTAACTCTATTTATTTTTACATTTTATAAAAATGTCAAAAAATGCCAAACAAACAACCAACCCTGTTTTGGATAAATTTTGTGAAATGAGTAAATCCATAAACAAAGGTTTTAGGGGGTTATTGTGAGTCTGGCTATATTTCATGAACTGTTTGTATTTGATCTGGATGTGATCCTACAGTCTCTGGTTAAATCTTACTGTACTGAATACAGATGTGAAAACTAGGTGGTTTGATTAGTTGTATCAAAAATTTGCTTTAGATTAACACCAATGAAACAACACATTTTACAACTATTCAAGAAATTTTGAAAAAATGGAGTTACATTGAATATGGTTTTGATGCCAGGGCTATTGAAAGAGAATTAAAAATTGAAATGTTTCTCGATCATCTGTCTGCAGACTCGTGCTGGTCCATCACAACCACCTTCCCACAAAGGTTTTTTCATCGTACTCCCGTGTTAGTAGTCTATGACAATTTAGGGAAGAAGTCAGTATTGAGAAGGTTGAAAAAGTTTATCAAAATGTCATCACGTGTGTTAATCATGGTTGGAAGGTCTTTGATTAACACTTAGGAATGAAAGCTCACTATTCGAACTTGCACCATTTTAAAATATTACTAAGCCTTTTCAGCAAGAAGAGAAAGCTACTATTGTTTCATTTCTGAAAATAACCTTGTGTAAATACGTACAAATTTGATAAATAAGCATAAGTGTATCTCCTGAGGGCTGAGATCCTTTAGTCCCCTACAGTACTACAACTTTATTCTTGAAACCTTACTAGGGAAGGATCCCCCACCCACCCCCGTCCTACCTGAAAATCATCACCGAGAAGTGTGTGTGTACCTAAATGTTGAGGTGTACGTGTGTGTGTGCAGATAAATAAAGAAGGATACACAATAAAGAGAGATGTCTGTAAGAGTAAGGGCATGGGTGAATCATCTCTCACGTATAACTATAAATACATTAGTATTTTATTGACTTTTGTTTCTGAGGAAGTCGTATAGAACTCGTGCATCTTGTATTTAGTTCTGTGTTGAATAAAAATAAACCCAAATCTTCAATGATGGCCAAACCTTGCGAGATATTATGACCAGAAGTATTGCTAACAACGAAGATATCCAGTTGATCAAGCAGTGTACCCTAGTCCTTATAATATAAGATGTATAACATTGTGTTCTCCTAGCTAGAATGGTAGGTTAAATTAACTGTATTAATTATTGGGTTAATTTTTGTTACGATCTATGTAGGTAGATTGATTTGATCAGAAGCTTGTGATGATTTGAACTAGTATAAATAAAATAAAGATATAGTTAAGCTCTTTAACCAGAATTACGATGAAACGACAACATCACGTCACGTCAGAAGAATCCCGCATCCTGGAAGAGGTATGAGTAGTGCTCGAGCTCGTCGTAATCAGATGCAATTTAGCCCCTCTAGTGCACTCTCATCTCTCTCTCCAAGCAGCAGGGAGTCTATAAACCCTCTCGCAGGTAAGTTGTCGTTTGTCTTGATGGGAACTGGGTAAATGTCTGTAAGTAAGTGGTGAGTTTATCTTGCTATTTTTCCTTGTAGCCTGGCATTTAAGGCACTCAACTTGGTACCTGAAGGTTGCAGGTCAAATCCCCGTCACCGAACATACTTGCCCTTTCAGCTCTGAGGGTGTTATAATGTGACAGTGAATCCTACTGTCTGTTGGTAAAAGAGTAGCCCAAGAGATGGTGGTGTTGACTAACTGCCTATCACTGCTAAATTGGGGATGGTTAGCAAAGATGGCTCCCGTGTAGTTTTGTGCATAATTCAAACCAAACCAGTCTTTTCTTCGGCTACGGGAACGTGAATGAATATCACAAAAATTGCTCTGAATCCAAGGGACTAGTTTTTTTTTAGGGGGGGGGGGTAATACTTCCTTTTCACTGAGTGAAAAAAAAAATCAACTAACTTGTTCAGTGAGTTGTTTCAAAATGATGCTAATTATAAGTTGTTTTTCCTCTTCCATACTGGAAATAAAAATAACCAATTAAAATGCTATAAGTTAAAAATTTTCAAAATTCAAGATTGACACGTCGTTTCAAATGTTTGAAAGGATGGGGGTGACAGGGGGGGAGGAAGAATATTGTTTTACACTTGGTAGCTTTCAGAATTACCACCATGGAGTCATCAAAATTTAATGATGATCTTGATGTAGGCAAACCACTTCCAGCTTCATTACTTTATGTTAAAAGTTTTGTTTGTGTTGCTAGTAATACCTGCGTGATTATCTCTCAATGTTATTATCAACACGACTTGCAGTACTTTACATTACGTATACATATTTGGGCTGTAGCTTTCTCTGGTATAAAATACCTTGTTTTTCCTATAAAATCTAACACACGACAACTTATAATAAGATAAATTTGTTAAAAGATGGTTTTACTATAAAATAGCTATTATTGTTGTTGTTGATAAAAGTTCTAACTTTTGTTATCTCAAAGAAAAGTACCATTTAACATATTTTTAAACTGGTAGATAATTGTTAGTTTTATTTGTAAACTTTCTACATTCATACTTTTTCCTTATAGAACTTCTCTCCCAGCTGTCTGGCGTTCGACGCGCAGCCAACCTGAGCCAGACAAATACGACTTCCCAGCTACAACAGCTCCAGATACAGCTTCAGCTTGAACGACAGCAGGCCCAGGCTGCTCGTCAGCAGCAAGAGCGAATACCTCGTAAACAAAACCAAACTGGTGCTACAGCCAATGGTGTTGCCCCTACCGGAGGGACTGCTGTCCAGTTCAATCAGCCTCTCTATTTTGAACCTATAGCTAGTCCAAGTTTTTCAACTTCTGGTTCTCAGTTTGTACTTTCTAGGTAAACTATGTGTATATAAGCAATATTTATATATGACGCTTTCAGTTTGGTTGATTTAAAGAAAATAAATACCTTAGCAAACTGTGAATCTTTTCCAAAAAAAAATATTTTATTTATTAAGAATTCAGACTAACGTATCAATTGGTTCTGACCACACAATAAAACAATATAGAACTTTATCAGAGGTATGTTTATCTTCGTGAGGATATCCATAATGTACATAATTATGTGTAGTTATCTGAATAATAATAAGTCTTTATTTGCAGTAAATAATTGTACATTATGAAAGTTGAAGAAACTTTGAGATTAATAATGCTTGGAGACGGCTTGAATGGGTAATGAAGAAAAACTTTGATATAAGTTTAACATTACAGCAAATGTACAACGTTTCAATATAGAACTTTATC